AGCACTGCCCTCGAACAAGTGCCGTCGGTGTGCGCACGGACCCCTGACGCACCCGCTGCCGCGCGGCTGGATTCCCTCCTTACAGCAGAAGGACCCCGGGGCCAAGAGGGCTTCCTTCGCTGCGTGCTGATCCCCCACCAGTCCGCTCTCGCCATCAGTGCGCACGGCGGTACCCGACACCAACCGGCGTCTCTGGCTGACAGAGGGTGCGGGGTCATCACGCAAACCCAGCACAATTTACAGCGTTCGCCAATATTAGCTGTGGTCTCTGAGAAGTCTCACTGTCTGAATTTTGCAAGCTTGCCTCTTCCCAGTTTTGTGCCTTATTTGTCCAGATGAAAAGTCATCCAGAGCAGCCAATCAGCAGAGCAAATAATGTGGAAACAGATGTAATTTTTAAAAAGAACAAGCATCTAACTAACAATTGCTTATTAAGCCCCAAATCCAAGAGCTGCTCAGCACTGCGTTGAAAGTCCTAATGCTCGTAACGCCCGAGTGAGCCAAGTGCACTTCAGGATTTGGACTGCTGTGTGCAGGACAACATTTTCACGCTTTCTCTGAAACTCTCATCCATTTTCCCCTCATCATTATTCTGACGCGAGAAACCCCTTGCTATTACTCAATTCTCAGCTGTCCAAAAGGAACTCTGAGTGCCTATGTAATCTATTTGCAGGAAGAGGACTGGGAAATAACCAGTTCCTGATTAACTACACATCTAGAGAAACCCACCGGCTTCAGATTGATGGGATCTACGGCACGGAGTCCTAGAGTATCTCGTAGTATAAACAGCAGAGATCTGTAGAGGTCTAGATTTGAAAGAAATGAAGAGTGACTTACTGGCTCAGGAATTTATCATCTGTGGAGAATAATACTGCAACAGTTTGGGTCACAGTACGACAGTTTTTACACTAAGGAACAGCTTTTTTCTTTTTTTTTTTAAAGCCCTCCAACTCACGTGTGCACATTTCCCTCCAGACAATTACATTAAAATCCTGCACTTCATATGCAATTATCTTTTTTCTTGATGTCTGAAAAAGTGGTTGCTGTTCCTCCCTGCACCCCCCCCAGTACAAAGGTGCCGCAGCCAGCTCCGTTCTTCCCACAGCACCATCCACAGCTGACAAGGCGTACATTCTGCTGATGGAAGTCAAACTAGCTATCTACACACGTGCCAGTTTGGAATCAGGAATGATTATTAATTCAAAGACGCTGGTATGTGTCCTGGAACTCCGATGATCCTTACCACTCTAGAGAGAAACGGAGGATAGCAAAGCAAAGATACCGCAGCTCAAGCTTTTTGACTTCTCAGTGAAATGCCATTCTCCCTCTGTAAGACTCAGCGATCCTCCAAACCCAAGATGAAAGCCTCTGAGCTTACCTGCCTCCAGAACAGACGCATAAAGCTTGCCTGACACTCGCACTGCTCCCGCGTGCAGAAGGTGCCAAGGAAACCCAAGGCACAGCTGTGTGACGAACGGCGGGGTAGCCAAAAGCTCACCTAGTCCAGACAGCTCCACAGATAGCCACTGTCCGTCAGAGCAGCCACTGGTGCTCCAAAGCAAAAGAAAGAGGACAACGGCCTCCCCTTGCTGCCAGAGGCAACCCCGCTACCATACCACCCGCTTTTTCCAAATGTTACAAGCTAAAAAGTTCTTTTCTAACAACAGAGTGGCTAAGCCCAATTAGCTTGGCATCCTTTTCCATAGATGAGTAAGCTGCTGAAGATCTCATAGCTGACCTGTAGGCAATACAGAGAAAATCCGACACTCGCCAACAACAGATGCTCACGAACACCCTGCCCTGGAGAGGTGACTGCTGCTTCGGTCCTGCGGCTCGAGGGCTGGCTGTGAGAGCGCTCGCTCGCTGTACGCACGGCAGTTGTCAGCTGGACGCATCGCAACCGTGGTGCGAGCGGCAGCCACACCTCAGCATCTTTTGAAGAAGCACCCAAGAGCCAACATACGGAAAATGCTCACATTTCTGGAAGAAGCACCCAAGAGCCAACTGACGGAACATGCTGAGTTTTCTTTGCAGCTCCTCTCACAATACCTCTCGAAAATAAGCGGATGTTTAAATCTTTCAGGTTATTTCTAGGACGAAAAACTGAAAGAATCATCCATCTCATTATTCACTAATGAATTATGTCATCTGCTCCTAATATAGTAACAATGGAGTGATACTTCAGTTTTTATTAAGGGTAGTCAACCTTGCTTTGAACAAAACACCAGCTTAACCGCTTTCATTAAATTAACACTGGATCCTTTTAAAAAAACCCCTCATTCTTAGAAGGCGTACTGCTGAAGACATCTAGTGCGTGAAGACATTTTGTGTGAGTGTGTCCTACATCATGTTACGACCAACAGTGATGCCATTTGGTTTATAATTTCTTTTTTGTGTGTAATTTAGGAAAATTCTATTTTCATTCCTTAGTAGCAAATGTTGTATTCCTTCAAAGACAAACAGACAATGCTTCCGTTGGCACTAAAAGCATCCTCCCACGGAGTGCACGTAGTGTACATTCAATTTTATTTTTATCAGTGCTGAACCATAGCCAGCAGTGGTAACAAAGCCCACAGACTGGAGAGATTTGTTTGTGACTGATTCACTAGAGTTGTGTGAAAACCACAGCGTTAATCAGGCACTCTGCTTGTTCTAGTATATTCTCTCCCCTGTCACTCTCTGACACCTACCACTTCTACACCAGTTCCTGCTTTCTCATCTGCAACTCTATTCAGCTGAGGATAAACAGCACACAGTAGCCAGAGAGTGCGCTTTTTTAAGCAGCCGTCAGAAGCTCTTTTAATCCCAAGAGGGTAACTTTTGCTCACGTTAACCTTTTTACGCTAAGAAGTAACACCTCGGTATTGAGTATAGCTGCTGCACGGCACTGAGTCATGTACCGATGCACACCAGCGCTGCAGCAACCGCCCCAAACACGCTCTGGCTCGCGCTGCAACAGCATAGCTGCCATGTCCGCTTTTGCAAACTTCTTGCTTTAAAGAACAGGCCTGTCCCTGCAGCAGGCACGAAAGCCGCCTCACCTTTTCTCCATTTACAGTCTTTTCTGATTAGGCATATCTAGTTATTGCTGCGG